TTCCCAGACTCCCTTGCTTCTAGGTTCTGGATGTGACTTAAGTTCTGCCAAACAGAAGCACTGGTGGGAAATTTGAATTTGAAACTGAGTTAAGTGGAAAGAGAGGCAGGGCTTGAGATATTCATTTTGTTTGGACAGATTGCAGCATCCGTGGCTAGATCTGGAGCCAGCATCTGTGACAGCATCTGCTCAACTTAGCAGATGGCTTCTAGGCCGTGGAAACAGAAGCAGCTTTGCTGGTGGCCAAGTTCTACGTTGCGGCTTTGGGATTTGTTTCTGGAAGCTCCCACTAGCACATGTTTTTCAGTCTACCCAATGGTCATGTATGTCATTTAATAGCCTGCAATAAATCCTCTTCTGATTAAATGACTTGAATGAATTCTGTTCTCTGTGATTGAATCCTGACTGATACAACAGATAAATTAGTTTTGAAAAATGTCACTGGCCTCTTTGTTTTTCTTTTCCATCTTTGTAATTATATGGATAAAAAACATAAAATGAGGTTGGCATTATTTGTTGCATTCAATGAACAGGTAGGTTGTTCAGATTGACAATATGAGGTAAACTCCAACATAAATAACAGAGGCTTAGGTCTGGATTTTTAAGAAATAGACATGATTCTTCCAAATCATGTCTATTTGTGGGATTGCTTTTAAACAAGAGAGCCTTACTGATTATGGTATTTTACATTTTTAATAGAACTTACAGATTTCTTTTGTGTGTTATAAATAATTTATATATAACCAAGTCATGATATTCTGTTAGATAAATAGACAATGAGTATAAACATATAACTCTCAAAAGAGGAAATAAGTAAAAACATCCAATCAATATATTAGTGTATATGTCCAGTCTTATTAGTAATGAAATAAATGCAAATTAAAAAACAATGTGTTATGGTGATTTATCTCCTTAAAGAAATGAGCAAAGGGAAATCAACAGGAATACCGAACACTGGCTGGAGAACAGTGGATGGGCCTCTCTCATACGGAGAAAGGCGGAGGGGTGGGCCCCGGGCTCCGTGAGACTGCAAGAACTGGAGACAGGCTCAGGTTCCCTGAGGAGGCAGGAGCTTATCGAATGACTGGGGAGGGAGGAAAAATGGGAAATGGGAAAAAGTCCTCAAGTCACCCAGAATGTTCTTCAGGATGTGGCAGTCCTAGTGGTCTGACAGCAATTTTAGTTACTTGGTAAGAACTTTAGGTGTCCCCACACAAGCTGGGATCCAATGCTTCCTCTTCTAGCGTCATAGTGGCGACTCAGGACTTTGTAAAGCTTGACTCAAACTGGCTGAATTAAGAGAGGAATTCATTGGTTCTTGACTCAAAAGTCCAACGGCAGGGCTTGCTTAGGACGGCTGGGTATGAGGGCCTCAGTGGGGTTGTTCTCTCAGTCTCTGTCTTTCTTTGTCACCTCTGCTTTCCTATGAACTGGCTTACCTTTACAGCAGGCTCTCTCCATGTGGTGGCCCGTGGTGGGCCACTTACCATCTCAAACCCTCAGTTTCCTCATTCTAGAATGATGGAGCTATAAGCCACACTTATAAGATCCAATGAAATATAGTATATGTATGCTTAGTGAAATAAGCAAGGTGGTGAAAGACAAATACCATATGATCTCACCTATAAGTAGAACCTAATCAACAGAACACAGAAGTGAGCAAAATAGAACCAAGCATGGAAATAAGGAACAAACTGACAGTGGCCAGAGGGGAGGTGGGAGGAGGGTAATGGGGGAAGCAGGGGAAGGATCAAGTCAAGGCACATGTATAAGGGACCCACGGACAAGAACAACGAGGTGGGGGCAGCGGGGGAGTGGTGTTCAATGTGGGAGGGGGGATGGGCAGGGCAGGGGAGAGCAAAATGGGGGGGAAATGGGGACAACTGTAATTAAACAACAATAAAGTTTTTTTAAAAACTCACCATGTTTCAGAGGAATTTATTAGTTATTACAAGCTCAGTGGTTTGCTTTAAAAGTTATTCTTTTAACTTGGCATTTATGCCATCTTCCCTGTTTCTGATTATTAATACAATGGTGTAGATTTTGTTAACAGGACTCTCCTGCAACTTGGCAAATGGGGAAAAAATATAATCCTCTTTACCAAGAATATCAAGAACTGGGGGCATTGCTATTCCTTTGGATGTTGACATTTTAGGTATTGAATTCTGGGTTCCTAGGAGCCTGTGGGGGTGTCTCAGGCACACAGTGTATTGGGAGAGGGGTGCTGGGAGGCCACTGGCACGGGCTGAATGAGTGGGGCAGCCCCCCTTAATCAGAGCAGCCCTGCTTTTGTGTGATTTCTACATCGTGATTCTAGGTAAGATTTTACATCAGAAAGGAGTGTAGTAATGTCAAAATGGCAGCACCTTTGGCAGTAAAAGAGAAGAAATGAGCCGAATGCTGATATTAATCGACTAAAAGCTAATGAAGACAGAACCCATTCAATCAGAACAAAATTAAACCCCACTTGATCAAAATCTGAATCTGATATAAAAATATTGATTAGTTATAGCCCAAAGCTGTTCATGCTTAATTGTCTTAAGCCCAGAGGGGCAGAGACCCTCTTTCTTTGCTCATATCTGGAACTAAAGACTCTGAGAAACCTTGGAAATGGAGCTCAACTGACCCACTTACACTTGTGGTAGACAACATTGTTAGTGATTACAGCGTTCATAGTTCTGTCCAATGAAATGTGAGTGGAGGTAATGCGTGTTATTCAGTGCTGAGGCGATGAAAAGCTGATGCGTAATCCTCTGGACTTTCTCTTTTCCTGCCATGGTGATCTAGAAGGCCGAAAGATGATGAGCTTCTGGCTCCCTGAGTCTCTAGTGGCTGTGTGGGGCAGCGTATCCTGCCGATCTACAAGGCTGTGGACCTGAGTGAGCAAAAAGGCTTTGTATTCTTCACCTCAGGGTTGCTCTGCTATAGTAGCATAAGCTAACATCCACTGGCAGGAAATCTGGCAGCTCCAGGAAGATTTTTCAGGATGTGAAATTCTTAGGGGCTGAATGGAAAAGGATGAAGCTAAGAGTGTCGAGTGAAATGGGGGTGGAATGAATAGGGGGAGCAAGTAAAGAAACAGCTAGCTGAGGAAGCTGTACGATTCAGTGGAAAAAGCATGCACTTTAGAGTCAAATAGACCTACTTAGTGTTGAAATTTAGGTTTTGCTTTTAATTTTCTCTTTGCCTTTGATCGGGTTGCCAACTTTTCTTTCCTATAAAACATAATAACTACATTACATGATTAATGAAAAGATTAAATTATATACACATATGCTTATGGTTAGTACTTAGCAGAGAATCTAACAGTTGTTAAGCAATCGATAAACTTAGGTGCCCTTTCTGTTAGTTTGCTTTCCTCAAATACTATTTCTAAGCTTGGTAGTTGCTAAGTTTTGTTTCACAGAATCTACAACTGGGATTCATTCCTTCAAGTTTAAAGTCCTCACTTCAAAGTCTGCATCCCTTGTATCCCCGCGACAGCTGATATGAGAAGCTGCCAAATCCTCTTACTGCTTTAATTGCAGTGCACTTAGGTTCTGACGAGGGAATCATGGCCAGTGTAACTGAGCCTAAAGCCTGAGCAAGGGAGAGCTTGTGAGAGAACAGTCTAGAGGCCGGTGACAGTGTCTCTTTACTGACATATCAGTTCCCATCTGCCAGCTTCATATAAAGCCACCCCCTGTTCCTGCCTTTTCAGCTGTCACTTACAGCAGCCTTCTTTCAGCCTGGAGCATTCAGCTCCTTACATCCTGACCTTCAACAAATATTTTAAATAAGCTGTATTCAAAACTAAAGGGGAACCATTACATCCAAAAATATAAAAGCAAAGAAATGTATGAGTTTTCTGGACAAGATGCTCTGGTCTGAGCAAACTGGCATCACTCACTGATACTTGGAGCCTTGGAGGCCATAGTTATGCACTGACCCCTTCTGCCCCCACTGTGAAATTACCTGGCCCTGAAGCACTGTTTCTTCTTGAATTTTAGTGGAAAACTTCCCTTGATCCCATCTTGGTTGGACCTGGGGACGGGGGTGTTAATTGTATATTACAAAATGTCCTTTACTGGAGAGAATATGCAGAACAAACTATATTCAAAAGTGTGTGTAACATGAGAGAAAAATAGTTGAGATTTACTGTTTCAGTGACTTGTACACCAATTCTGAAAGTCAGGAGGCTGAGGGAAATGAGAAGAGAAAGCCTGTGTATCCTAAGAGAAAGGTCCCAGAGGCACTGCAGTATAGTACCCTCACCAGCTTGTAGCACTGGTGAGTGTAAACGTTTGCGACTTCATTTACTCTCAGCTGTTTAAAGATGGGCATTTCTGAGGGGATATTTCATCCAGGCTTAATGTTTTAAGGGAGCGTAGAATGGTTATTTTATTTTAAAAAGCAAGGGGAATGTTTAATGTGGAAAGCGGCAAATCTTTGGGGTCCAAGACCACCTGGGTAGAGGTGGGGAAGTTTCAAGGAGTCATCTACATCCCTGTCCTTTTTGGGGGCGTCTCCTAGCAGAACCCCTCTTCACCGAAAGCCCAGAACGTTCAGCATTTTGCAGCGAAGAGTTGTTCCGCCCACTTACAGAGGCAAGATGATGGACACCCCTTGAATCCAATGGGGGCGGAGGCCGTCCAGACTTGGTGGGGAAGTCCGCTCTGATCCTCCCGAGTCCTACCTGCCCTGTCCTTATGCCCCAACCCTCGCGGCGCCGGTGACTACTAAGGAGAAACGAAGACACACTCGGAGGAAATGATTCGCGTTCTGAAACTAGTATCCTCCCGCCCCATCCCACCCGTATTGCCACCCTACTTGCTTCCCTGACTTGCATTTGTGAAGTCTCCCTCTTGGGACCGGAGGTCTCCCTCGAGCGACCCCGCTCCCGGGCCTCCCCTTTCCCCCACTTCCGCATCAGTCCGGGGCTCCCTCGCGCCAGCTGCGAAGTTTCGGGCCCACAGCCCGTCGCGCCGCCTGCCGCTCCCTGGGCCCTACTTTCACTTTCGGTCTCGAGGCGCTCCAAGCAGCGGCTGCGGCGCGACGGTGAGCCGGCTGGGTCCGAGACCCCCAGGTACAGCGGAGACGTCCCAGTGCGCCCCGTAGGGAGGGGGTCCGTGGCTGGAGAAGGGCGCGATCCCGCCATCCTCTCTGTACCCCTTGAGAAGGCCCGAGGGCCCCGGGCTGGAGTAGGGGGAGGGCCGGGAGCCTGCGACGCGGCGGGGCGGGGGAGGGGGCAGGTGGAGGGGGAGTCGGCGGGCAGGGTAATCTTGGAGCCTGGGCCCCAGTCTGACGCGAGGGGGACCGCCCAGCCCGGCCGTGGCCCTTCTCCACTCGGAGAAGAGGAGGGGCGTGGGGCTGGTGCGCCTGCTCCGCGTGCTTCCAGCGCTTTGCCGCTTCGGGGCAGGAGGGAGCCTGCCTGTGCGCTCCGCCCCGCGGCTGGGCACCTTGCCAGGGTCTCGGTCCATCAGGGCCAGATGGCGAAGTGACTGGGTGGTGGGGTTAAAGCTACAAGGGAATCTTGATGATAGTTGCCAGAGAGACGAACGTGGCCTTGGGTTTCTTCTGGGCTCGGGCGTGGGCGGCATTGGCTTTGCGTCTAAATGCTCCAAGTGTCGATTCTCTCCGAGCTTCTGTAGGTCTTACCAGCAACGACTTCACTCTGCCTCTAACCCGGTTCTGTTCAGATCCCACCTTACTATTTGAGTAAAATCATGTTTCCTGTGTGGGTGCCTTACTCGCCAGGTGGCCTGCAATTTAATTTCATGAGAAAGGAGAACAGCAGACGACACTTCCTTACAGTTTTCATAGAGATTCCTTGTGTAGGCCAGGTTCTAAAAGAAACGCTGCTTTTTACCAAATGCCCGCAGTATTTGATCTCAACTCAACTCAGCACGTAGTCAACAATTAAAATACTTTGAAAGATTGGCCAAAGTTGTCTGTTTTCCTAAGGAGTTGGAATTGTACTAATATCTAGCATATTTTCAGGTGGTCCTGAAAAATAGGGGGAAAAAAATTAATACATTTAAAAAAAAGTCGAATTAAACATTTTTATTCACCTGCAATGAGAAGTTATTATCAGTGCTTGTTAATAACAGAACACGGGAAGAAAAGTTCATTACCTATCTAATCATCGATTTCACATTCCATAGTGTCCTAATAAAGAGAAGGATGATCTGATTCAGAACCAGTTGCCCCTTACTGTGTGAGTGGGGAAAGGCAGAATTACCAAAGGCAGCCTAAATACAGTTCCCCAAATACCTTGAACTCTAACCGACTGTAAGTAAAGTTAGGCACTCTGTTACTGCTGCACTTTCATTAACAGCATTGACTGTGAAAGATCAGATGCCAAAGAAAAATATTTTTTTTTAAACTTTGAGGGAATAGCGTTAAGCACAGGAAAGTCCTTTTTATCTCTGTGCTTTAAATCTGTGTATTCAGCTGCCTTCTTGATACTTCCCCTTGAATATCTCATAGACAGCATAAAAAATGAACACTTGATTCCTCTCCTCCCTTTTAAATCTATTCCACCTCTCATCTCTGTCTCAGTAAAGGGCACCTATGACTACTCAGACGCTCATTCTAGAAACCGGGCAGCAATTCCAGTGCATCCTTTCCCTTACCCCTCACTTAGGATGATGAATCCATTCATTTCCCAGTGTCTCTGTTTCTCCCCTCTCCCTCACCCCCTCCCTCTCTTTGCCCATGCCACCCAGTAGAACACACTAACTTAATTTGTCTAGACTACTTATTAACTGGTCTCTTGGCCTTCACTCTTGCTCCTTTCTAGTCCTGCCTGCCTCACACAGGGTGATTTTCTTAAAGTGTGAATTGGATCCGAAGACCTCCTAGCTTAAAACCCAGTGGCTTCTCATTGCTCTTAGGCTAGGATCCAAAATGGTTAAGCCTGCAAGGCTGTGTAGCCGTCTGGCCATGCCCACCTCTCCAAGGCACATCCCTCCTGCTGCGTCCCGTGTGCTTCAGGTTCACTGGCCTTTACCAGCAGCACTCGCTGCTGCCTTTGAGCCTGCAGGTAGGATTGCTGTTCCCCCTGTCTGGGAAACCCTCTGTTTCTCTTTTCTCAGCTGACATGAATTTGTTCTTTAAATCTCAGCTAAAAATATCAGAGAGACCCAATGTAAATTTGTCTTCCCTGTTACTCTCCTTCATTATGTGTGTGTGCTTTTTTGTCAACTAGCTACCCCTGCCTTTGAGGTCGGGGACCTGTGCGATCTTGCGCTGCTAGTGATCAGCAAAACCTATGACATGACATATAATAGGCCCTGAATAAATATTTGTGGAATGAGTGATTAGAAATACTTTAACTCATTTAATCTTCACTACTATCTGTGAGAGAACTGTTAATCTCATATTACACATGAAGAACATGAAACTGGGATGAAATCTTATGTCCAAGGTCAAACAGTACATGGCAGAGCGAGACTTCAAAGCCAGGTTTCCTTTTCTGACTGTAAGCCATATGTATATATGTATGTATGTATGCATGTATGCCTGTATATAAAATTAATATAGCTATAATTATATCTGTGTGTATATGTATTCTGACATTTAAGCTGTATTACTGCTCCATTTTGGTTTCCTGGCACTGCATCCTCCTTGGGACACAGCCATGTTCTCTTTGGTTCCCTCCCCTCAGAGACCCAACCCTGCGAAGCCTTTGGTGAGGGCTCTCGCTGCCAACCATCTTAGCAGCCCATGGGCCTTGCTGTCAGCTCAGAACCAGTTGGAATTTTTAGATTTCCTCTCAGCTGTTGGAGAATACTCAAGGACTTCCAGAGTCCTCACATGCCTGAACTTGGGTCGCTGGCTAAAGCCACTAAGCTACTGCCATCAGAAATTCCAAATGGAAGTGTCACACGTTTTTCCTTTACTTCTGGTCCCCTGATTTCAAGGGAAATCCATCATTCTCCTCCTGCCCTGAGATGTAGGGGCAAGAACTCTTTCCCATTTTGGTATTTAACTTTTATTGTTTTTTAAATTGAACCAATCCTCGCATCCTTTAGTAGCTTCTTGTTGCAGGGAGCGCGGGGCTTCTGAACCTGAGGGTTACTGTCGGGGCCAGCTGAGATGGGACTGAGGACTTTGAATCCTGCAGAACCCGTCCTGGGGTTGTCACGGATGGGGGAATAAACACGAGTTGTCTCAAACACTTCTCTGTTTGCCAGAAGAGGGGAGAGGGCACTTCCCTCTCGTGGGGAAAGCCCAAGCCCCTTTTTCCAAAGGCTTTCATTGAAAAAGTTTGCAATGGGGCTAGGTAATAGGAATGTGCAGGTGACCTCATTACATCAGTATGTTAATGTTTACAGAGAAGAGATGATGTTTTGAAGAAAACAAATGGCAGGAACACACCGATTTACATGGGTCCGAGAGGAGACTAGTAAATATGAGAGCGCCAAAACGTTTAGGGTTAGGGTCTGTGAATAATGTAAATTTCCTTCCCAGCATGAGCTGGCTATCATAGCTTTTTTTGTTTTTTTAAAGATTTTATTTATTTTTGGACAGAGGAGAAGGGAGGGAAAAAGGGAGAGAAACACTAATGTGTGGTTCCCTCTCATGTGCCCCCTACTGGGGACCTGACCTGCAACCCAGGCATGTGCTCTGATTGGGAGTCAAACTCACCACCCTTTGGTTTGCAGGCTGGGGCTCAATCCCCTGAGTCACACCAGCCAGGGCTGGCTGTCATAGCTTTTGAAGGAGAAACAAAGCATGCTTTAAAGTATTTACTTCTAGGCCTGATTTCCCCTGGGAATCACCAGACCCAGTTTAGGAAACAATACTGTCTCCAGTATTGTTTCAAGCCTGAGCCAGGCAGCTGGGGGGGGGGGGGGGCCGCCAAGAGACAAGGAAACTTCTTTCAGATAGAATGAGGATGCCGGCCCTGTCAAAGCCGAGCCGAGGGGTGTGGGCCTTTTTGCCCTTTCTCCGTGTCCCCCAAGTTTTTGTCCTGATGCCCATTTGGCTGTGCCTGGCTTAGGTTGTCCGTTCCATTGAGGGATCTCACCCATCATTGACTAACCAGCCATCCATGTGGCCAAGCAGGGTGATGTGAGGGATGCAGGGGTTGTGCCCCTGCCAGGGGGACAGGTTTTGTCTCCTCAGTGGCCTGTTTTCCCAAGGCCTCGTTCATTATTTCCAGCCTTGGGGCCCTCTCACCTGTCAGTGGGGCTACAGTTCCTGAAACCAGACAGGGTGTTTCCCAAAAGATTCCTAGCCAAAACAAACAAACATACAAACAAAAAACCCAGCCCCCCCAAAAAAACCCCAAAACAAAAAACAACAACAAACAAAACTGTTCTTCCTGTTCACATCTCTTTTCTGTCTTATTTGAGTGGTGCCTTTTGAACTGGGATTATGGCGTCCCTGTGGTTGACTGTCTCTGTTGTGTTGGTGTCCCCTCTGTTTAGCCTGCAAATCTGCTCCATGGAGAAGGGGAGGTAGGCGCCTTTAACTGTGTTTGGTTAGGGAACAGGATGGAAAGTGAGGGGTGGGAACATTCAGTGATTACATTGAACTAGTGTCCCCTCATGTGGACCTCAAGGGGTAAGACCAAGGTTCGGAAAGGATTATCTAGGAGCTTTTCAACCTGGCTCTTCAATAGAATTTCTGGGAAGTTTAAAAAAGAAATCTGATTGCCTTCTCCTCATCACCAGAGATTTCAGTTTAATTGTTTTAGATAGGGATCTAGTCAACAGTTATTTTAAAAGTCTCCTCCAAGGAGATTTTAGTATGCAGCCAGAGTTGAGAACCACTGACAGTAGGGAGAATCCCATGCATCACGATCATTTCCAGGGATCCACATTGCGACTTTACTACCTTTCTCATCTGATCCAAATGCCAGAGTGACAGAGGAGTTGGAAGGAATTAGGGCCAATTACCTGGGCTTACCTGGCAAGGACCCCCCCCCCCCCCCGGCAGATGCCCATTAGAGAGACATCTTTGTCTAAGACAGAGAAAGAAGTATGCTGGGTTCTCGGAGCCTGGGTTACCAACTCCCTTAAAATTCACATCCTTTTGTGTACTGTGGCCTTTAAAATAAAGTGCAAAATATGGTCTGCAGCATGACTCCCAGGATGCTTTCAGCATAATCTCAGAGTTACTCTCCTCCTCGCTTGTGAATAATCACTCTCCATCAAATTCTCCTCGTGCTCCCTCAGTCCACATCAATGGACTGAACAACCCTCTGTTGTCTCCCGTTGGGCCTTAGCTCCCGCCCTGGCGTACTCCATCTTCAATGAACAGTTTTAATGCTCTCCCTTCATTTCCAAATCGGACCTAATCTTTCAGACCACACTCAAAAGCCGGTCTTACAGGAAGGCATCCCAGAGTCACCTCGTCCTTCACAGCCAAGCCACTCTCTTCCTTCAGAAACAAAATTTCAATCTTCGCCAGCGCCCTCCTTTATTACTCGTACAGGACTCCATACTTTCTGCTGTGTTTCATTATTTGTAAATGAATGTGTAATGACTGTTCCAGGTTTGGAGTCCTTGATTGCGGGATTATATCTTGTGTATTATTATAGTCCACACAATGCTCAGCACCTGGCCTTCTATGCAACAGATATTCAACCCATATCTGTTGGATTGATTGTAATTGAGAATCCAGGTGATAGGTGTGTTTGTCGCACACTATGGTGAAAATCACCATAAGCTTTTTAAGTCATTCCTGGCTACATAAATATTAAATTGACTCTTGGCATGACAATTTGATAAAGATCCAGTGTTATTAAAGGTTACTATTGTGGATACTTGCTTTTTCCCTCTTGCCACTCAATATCTACGTCTCCTTCCTGTGCTTGCTTGTTTTCATAGAGTCTCTGCTTTATAAGCTTCGTGGGAAGTAAGGCTTGTCTCTCACTTCAGAAGCTGCAAAGTCCTGATTCTTGCTTTCTCCACCTCCTTGCCTGGGAGCGTGGACACCCTGCCTTGGCTGCGACAGCCGTAGTTGAAAGGACTCTGAAGCTGAAACCAGTAATGCGCAGCTGCAGGGGTAGTGGGAACACTCACGGCAGTGGTGGCTGCAGCTGTGCGAAGCCATCTGCTCGCCAGCGTGGTAGAGCAGCTTCCTCCACAGCCCAGTGTGGGCAGGGTGTGGTTGTCTGGGGAGATGCCTCTCCGATGTGGTCCTGGCTGTTCATCTTTGCCTTTATATGAGCCTGGTTTCTCAAATGTCCTGGCAACTGTGCAACCTATTTAGTGATCTATTCAGGACCCTCACTCAGAGCTTGTTCTGTTGCTTTCAACCAAGAACCCTACTGATAAAATTAATTGAAACTTTGAGAACCAGATGATGCCTTTGAGGAGGTGCTAATGACTGTTGCTAACCATAAAATTTTTTCTTCTGTGAATCAATAACATCAGGAAGGTAATTGTACTTTAGGAAAAGACCTGGTGCTTTTGAAAGTTTCTATTTACATTTGCCAATAGTGGGCGAATGCATTCTGAAATCATGATGTCTTTATAATATTTTAGTGACTTTTTTTTTTTTTTTTTTTTTTGCTTTTTTTAGGGTAGTTTGAGCAAAGAAGATGATATCTCCATCCAGCAAATGGCCACTTGGAGCCGTGTCATTTCTGTCTTCCTCACTGTTGATTCTCTTAATTGTGTCAACTCCTTCCTGGTGTCAAAGTAGCGAAGCTACATCTCCGAAAGCTAGTAATGGGACACCATTTCCTTGGAATAAAATGAGACTTCCTGAGTACATCAGCCCGGTTCATTATGATCTCATGATCCATGCAAATCTCACCACTCTGACTTTCAAGGGGACCACAGCCATAGACCTCACGGTCAGCCAGCCCACCGCGGCCATCATCCTGCATAGTAACCACCTGCAAATATCCAAGGCCGCCCTCAAGAAGGGAGCTGGAGAGCAGCGGTCCGAAGAACCCCTGAGAGTCCTGGAGCACCTGCCTCATGAGCAAATCGCACTCCTGGCTCCCGAGCCTTTGGTCGTTGGGCGCCCATACACAGTTGTCATTGATTATGCCGGCAATCTTTCTGAGAGTTTCCATGGATTTTATAAAAGCACCTACAGAACCAAGGAAGGGGAAGTGAGGTATTTTCTTCTATTTTTCTTTTAAGCTTCAAGTGCTGCTCTCACTAAATTTATTATTTCAAATAGATTGTCTTTTAAAATTCCCTTGTTTATTGAGTTCTTTCTTTGGTTTGACTTTTGCATCCTCTTGGTAGAGTTAAAAATGGCAGTAGTTTGTTTTCTTTGTTTTTGGATCTCATTTTTCATTGTTTTAACCCGTTTTCTTGCTTTCAGCTCTATCGGCGTAAATGCCTACTTGTTTGTTTAATTAGATTTCTTGGACATTATAAACCTTTAATCTTCTTGGCCTATCTATTAGTTTTCTAGTGCTACTATAACAAAGTACTGAAGGGTGGCTTAAAACAAGAGAAGTTTATTCTCTCACAGTTCTGGAAGCTGTGAATCCAAAATCAAGGTGTCAATATGCCTGTACTCCAAGTACCTGAGAAGAATTCTTCCTTGCCTCCTCCTCGTTTGTGGTGGCCCTTGGGCCTTGGCGTTCCTTGGGTGTAGCTACGCCAGGCCAGTCTCTGCCTCTGCTATCACACACATTCACCAGTTTCCCTTCTTGTAAGGACCCCACTCATACAGGATTAGGGCCAAACCTGATCGCCTCCTGTTAACATGAATACATCTGCAAAGACTCTATTTTCAAATAAAGTCACATTCACAGATACTAGGAATTAAGACTCCAATATGTCTTTTTAAAGGACACAATTCAACCCACAACAGTCTATTAGAGGAAATACTTTCCTCTCAGTTAAAACTTTATAGGGATCCTCACCTGTCTTACTTTAGTTCTGTTTTTAAGAAGGTAATTTATTCTGGGAGATTGTATGCTAAATTTTAAAATTAAGTTTTACTTGTCAGTAGATTATACTAACTGTATTTAACTGTGTGTATTTAAAAAGTCAGATGCTACCAAAAAGTATTTTTAAGAAAGTAAAACTTATCCCCGTCACAGCTCCTAGAGATAATCACTACTTCTGTTTTAGGGGAACACCCTTCTAGATGTCTGTCTGATGATGCATACACATTATTTTATGTAAATGGACCAACATTATATTTTCTGTTTTAGAAGAGAATTTAAAAAATATGTTGAGAAGATGTTTTATATGGATGACATCACTATACATCATTTTAATGGCTATTAAAATGTATGTTTGTGCACTGATTTAACTAATCCCTTATTGATAGAGATTAGGTTATTTCCAACTCTGCAGCATCAGCAACACTTGGATGGACATCTTTGTAAATTATTTCTTTGGAATAAATACCTAGAAGTAAAATTGCTAAGTCAATGGTCTCCAAATATTTGGTTCCTTTGCCATACTCCTCACCTCTAACCAATCCTTTGTATCAGAAACCACTTTAGAGCCAAAAAGCCAACAGATACCTCCTTTTGACTTAAATTACATTGATAATTGAGGAAGTTGAGCGGCTTTTGATATATTTACTATTTGTAGGTTCTTCTTTTGTGAATTGCCTATTTATTACCTGTGTCTCCTATTGACTTGGTTGCCGGGTATTTTCTGATTCATTTTAAGAGCTCATTATCTGTGAAGGCTGTTAACACTTTGTCAAATACCTGTCAATCAATTTTCCCAAGATTTACCTGTCTTTTCACTTAGGTTATGATAGCTTTTGTCATATAAAAGAGTTTTTGGTAGTGAAATCCATCAATCTTATGGCAATATTAGAAATTAAAACACACACACACACACACACACCCCACCCCCCGCCACCCCTCCTTTTAGAGTCCCTGGTGCCTCATGCTGTGTCTTTTTTTTCACTTGCTGTGACTTTAGGGTACTTGCATCAACACAGTTTGAACCTACTGCAGCCAGGATGGCCTTTCCCTGCTTTGATGAACCTGCCTTCAAAGCAAGTTTTTCAATCAAGATCAGAAGGGAACCAAGGCACCTCGCCATCTCCAATATGCCATTGGTGAGTCTGAACTCCTCTACATCTATTATAAAGCCAGGAAAAATCCATTGATTCACTGTGACTTGCATTACTCCAATGATAGTTGTTATTCAGGTTACCTGTTTGGTTCGTTTTATTGCCTAACAGATAGCTAACATTTTCTTTTTCATTTCCAAACTATACTTTTGTTTCAAACAACAATTTATTTGTAGTTATAGAAAAAAATTGTTCCTAGAAATATGCAAGATTTCAGTAAGGGTGATATTCTAGATCATCAGTGCTGATAGGAGGGAATCAATACTGATATGTTCAGGTCCTTCACAAAGCACTTTAAACTTTATTTTCTCATATGGTCTTTTAAAAGGACTTTAAAGAGAACGCTTTGTTGAATAAAGCCATATTTCTAATGTGTAGTTATTTTCTATAATTTTTATATGTTATATACTAATATTAACTATACAGTTTGTAACCATATGCACAAAATTGGGCAGACAAAAGAAAAGTAAACTTTTCAGAATATTATAGTACTAAGGTAAGTAATGATAGGTAGCTCAGTTTCCTTAAAGAAACCATTATCCTTCAATTTCAAAGCAGATGTGGACCGTGTTTGCTCATATTTTTCAAAGTGGCGAGAAGATGACTGTGCCAAATGAGTGAAACAGCTCCGTAAATGCCACTATCCTGTGATTCTGGCAGCTTGGGGAAATGCATCAGCTGAGCTGTCACTCTGCAGGAGAGGCAGACCAGCCAGTGAAGTGCACGCATCCTTTGTTCAGAGAGGCTCACTGAGATGAGCCTTCAGGCTCTATCCTGAGTCCTGAAGGATGGCCTGTCTCATCCCTGCGCAATACCTTCGCAGGAGGGGACCCCAGAATGCCACAGACCAACCTCCAGTACAGTACTTCTCAGCCTTTCAAACTTCATATCCCGCCTAAGTACCGTAAGGATCCCTTCCTCAAACAAGACTCTGACAGCCCACCCCCCAGAAAAGCATCCTTCCCCTGTGGAAAGCATCCCTCTGAAAATCCTGCCAGCCAAGAACGTGTGTCTCCCCATCCCCATATTCATATATGAAAAGATAAGGAAAAATTGTCATATTCCTAATATGAATTTGAGATAGAGAACATGTTTTTTTCAAATTATAGTTCCCTCCCCCATTATTATGGTATTGCTCCTGGGATAGTAGTGAGTTCCCTAGAGAATTACAGCTTTAGGAAAATCAAGGAACAGGAAGAGAGACTCATTAAATAAGGTTGGGTGGAGAAATTCGTAGGCTTGCAGGGGGAAGGCCAGGAGCCCCTGAGGCTTTGCAAAGTTGCAAAATGGAGTATAAAACCAAGGATTTCCAGGACCCACTTGTGGAGGATAGGAAACAAATGTACCCTTGTCCCGTGGACAGGAAAGCCCTCGCCTGAGCAGAATAGGAGTGGCTCCAATCAGGTGGCCGACATGAGGCCGAGGGGAAAGACAATGGAGTCTCAAAGGATCTTTTTGGAGGTTAGAAAATCAAATAGTTAATCACATTTAAATTTGAATTACTTTATTTAGCTTACTTTGCTCATAATTATCACAACATCAGGAAAGAAAATTTTGGTTAGGGGTTGGTAAAGGCATTTTAAAAAGAAAAGGTAATTTTGTGTCCTTCCAAGGGTGACCCAGGTCTACTGTGAGACTCAGGGTTTGAATGACCAGAGAGTGACCAGCTGGTGGGTATAAAGAAGAAGGACCAGGGCGCAGAAATAGAGGTGGAAGTAAGATTATAGGGAAAAAAGCATGGGTCAACAATGGAATGCCAGGCTAGTTTTGGAGGGTCCTTTCTCCAAATCCTGCCCCTGTGCTTTTGGTTGGCTGAGGTACAAGAGTTTCTTCATTAGGAGCAGACGTCTTAGACTGTACCTCTTTCCCTCCCACCCCCTTCGGCGAGGCTGCTTCCCGATTGCACTTGAAAGCTGATTCCAGTGAAGCCAATCAGAGTGTGGAGGAGGTTTGCAGGGTCAGGCCCAGGCATGGGTCACTTGTTCTGGAAAGCAGGAGCTCTTTTTAGGCTGTATATGGTTGTGTACTTGCCCAGCGTAGAAAATAAATTAGACATTGTACTTCGAGGTAATTCTCATACCTGTATTTAAGGACATGTAGACTATATCTTGGCAAAACCAGTAATCTCAGTTTTGCTTTGTGCCATACATATTTTCAGTCCCCATGTACCAAATGTAAGTTGATATGCAATCATCTGGATTATTTATAAGAGATTAAGTGGTGATGGTTGCACAACTGTGTGGATATAATTTTTAAAACCCACTGAATTTTATACTTTAAAATTGTGAATTTTGTGGTCCATGAGTTATATCCCAATAAAAAAAGTTATTGAATAGAATGATTGAGCCTTAATATTTAAATTACAATCAGATATTGGAAAGATACATTTTAAAATAATTATACAAATGCCATGCCATATACTTTCAATGATATGCCTGATAGGAAATTTCTCTTTATAAAATGTTTCATCGTATTGGAATATTTGATGATGTAAGTTATTCTGATTTTAGGTTAAATCGGTGACTGTGGCTGAAGGACTCATAGAAGACCATTTTGACATCACTGTCAAGATGAGCACCTACCTGGTGGCCTTCATCGTTTCAGATTTTAAGTCTGTCAGCAAGATGACAAAGAGAGGAGTCAAGGTGAACCTGTAATTGTCACACAGCTGACCAGCGTGTCCTGGTCTGCCTGGGGCTGTCCTGGTGTTTAAATTGGGAGTCCACATCCTGGGGACCTCCTCGGTCGTGGGCAAATCAGGGTTGGTGACCCTGCTGTCACTGAAGCTCACGTTTACAGTGAGGTCCTGGTACCAGAAGCATGTGGGGAAGCGTGGCCTGGCATGCGCCCTCGTCCTGGCCCGTGTCTCACTTCTGGCTCCACCGCTAACTGCCTGTCTGACCTGGGCCCTACTCTCTCCCTTTTGAACTTGTTTCTATACTTCTTTAAAATATACAAGTTGGATGTGATCCTGCAGTGGTTTCTCAGGTTGCTCCTGGCTATAACTTTCTTCACTCTAGAAATGAATGCCGCTGACTACCTGAGCAGGATTTCCGGCCCTGGGAAGGAAGGAAGATAGTGCAGTCCGCTTGGAGCATTAAATGGCTCTGAGAGCCTTTGGGCCAGGGAATCCTGGGATACTAAAGGAAAAATTCTTGTTTTAAGGAGCACTCGCTCCTTGTCTGGATACCGTTGTGTAGTGAACGACACGTACAACTCTGTGCTGTGGCTCTGAATGCAAGGAGCTGCAGGACACGTTATTTTGAGATATCTCATTTATCTGTACTGGGTTTCACTGAGGCCTGACTGAATAGTTAGGGTGTCACTGCTAAATTGCCTTTTGATCCTATAAGGCTGAGGCTTCTTATCTTTGTGGAGATATCTCTATTTACCCTGGGGATTTGAGGGTGATGCTTGAAACTTGAATGTAGCGAGCAATCTGAATTCAGCAGTAAAACTATTAGCAAAAACACCCACTCGTTGATTTGCCCTCTCAGTCCTTTATGAACGAGTCTTTTTATAATGTTTCTTCCATACTGTGATATTGTGATTTATAATAAGAAATACATATTTGGTCTTCACCCGATTCTGGCACAGAGCTCCTGAAACCCTTCAAGTCTCCTGAGTGTAGGAAGAGATGAAGGTGTCTCTTGTTTGGTAAGGAGGTGGCCTTTGGAAAGCCCCTAGGTAACCTAAGAATGGGGACCGGTTGCCAGGAATCAACCAGGTGATTGGAAGGTTGACCTCAGCTGGAGACTGAGTTCCATCATCAATAGTCAATGATTTAATCAGCCACACCCGTGTCTGCGCCGCCACAAAAACCCAAAGGACAGGGTCAGAGACCTTCCATGTTGGTGAACATGTGGAGGTGCTGGGGGGTGCGTAGCACGCTAGGAGAGGGCACCGAAGCTCTGAAGCTCTGCACCTTTTCCCCATATCTTGCCCCTTGTATCTCTCCCATGTGACTCTTCTTGAGGTATTTCCTTTTACAGTGAACCGATAATCTAGTAAGTAAACTTTGTCTGGGGTTGTGAACTACTCTAGCAAATTAATCAAACCCAAGGAGGGGGTGTTGAAACCTTCAATTTATACCCACTTATTCAGAAGCACAGGTGACAACCTGGACTTGTGACTGGTATCTGGAGGGGACGGGACAGTCTTGCAGGACCGAACCCTTACCCTGGGGAATCTGATGCTGTCTCCAGTTAGTGTGAGAATTGAGTTAAACTGCTGGACACGTGCTGGTGTTGGAGAATTGCCTGGTGATGTGGGGGAAGCCACCCCCCATACAAACCCGCTTAGGAACTGGGTCCCAGAACCCCTTTTACATGCTAATACTTTTAGTCCTTTTATTTCTTTAACTTATTAAACATTTTATATTCTGTGTCTAGTAATTGCCATGGCTAAAGTCCTTGAGTATCTGGTTCTGTGGTTTATGGTTTTGGCTGGCTCTTGCTCACAGCGTCTTGTTCCTTTGTATACGTTGTGAATTATGCCTGTGAACTTGTATTACCTGAGTTGAAGGTGGGTTCTTCCAGAGAGAATTTGTCTTGACTGGAAGCACTTAGCAGCCTGGCAAAACTTTAAATCAAATTACTGGCTTTGGGTTTTTGGACCATCTGGGTTACCCTGAATCCAACTGCTAAACAGCATGGGTTAGCTTTTAGTTACAAATTCTCTGAGGAGGTCTTTCATTTTCCCCCATATTGCACCAACATTTGAAAAAGACATTCTTCAGTGTAGTCTTCTTGAGGAAGGAGGTGGTTGTTTCTAGTTCACCCTTCCATAAGGGTGTGGTCCTTCAGGGTTCAGCCTTTGCAAAGGTGCATATCCTGTTTCACTGCAGAAGCAGCCTTTGGATTTTGTCCCCTCTCCTGAGTCTTTCAATGCCATGAAAACCAAAGCTCAAGTCTACCTGTATTGCAAAAAGGGCAAAAGCTCAGGGCTGTATTGTTTTGCTGACTTCTGAGAGTTCTACTGTCACCTCATTTCTGGCCTTTAGGTTGTTTTTATCATGATCTCCTGAAGACCTTTAAAGAGACATCTTTGTATGTGTTATCCAGCATTTGTAGTTGTTTCAGAAGGGGAGTTGATCAGGAAGAGTCAACATTAATACAAGAAATAGAACCTTCAGTTGCCTTCTTTAATGTTGCCAGCCAGATTCCGTGGTATGAAGCTGTTAATGTCAGTCTTTGCAGTTGTGGAGAGAAGCCACCTCGGCATTTGACTGACTTTCTTATTATGCCTTTCTCTTCAGGTTTCCGTGTATGCTGTGCCAGACAAGATAAACCAGGCAGATTATGCACTGGATGCTGCGGTGACTCTTCTAGAATTTTATGAGAATTATTTTAGCATTCCATATCCCTTACCCAAGCAAGGTAGAGATTTTGCACAGATATTACAAATTGTGGCTTAAATGATCCCAGCCATAGGTTATATCCCCCTAATTAGCATCCCGTGGTTATCTCACGAGTCCCTCAAGTCATTAAAACCTTGGCAGGAGTTAACTACTGGGTTGATGCTACTCACCCCTGATTTATTCAATAAGCTAATCCTTTTTTTTTTCAAAATTTTATTTTTAGAGAAGGGAAGGGAGGGAGAAAGAGACAGAGGGAAACATCAATGTGTGGTTGCATCTTGCACACCTCCTACAGGGGACCTGGCCCGCAACCCAGGCGTGTTCCCTGACTGGGAATCAAACTAGTGAACCAAAGGGAGTGTAGTTCCCACATACTTGGTAGGAACAGAGAAGGTGCTCCAAATATATTTTTTGAATAAATAAATTTATACGGCAGAAGAAAATCTGCATTTTCTCATAAGACCCTTTAACACTATTTTGTGCTTGAGGTTTTAAGTGTATGGGGGTCTTGAGTATTCCAAGTAGAGTGGATTGTTAAGGCAATTGTTAAAATTTTGCAATCTTAAACTTCTTGTCTGAATGTTAGAAATGGAGTCAGGAGGCCTGTGACACAAGTTTGACCTGAATGAGTCACCAAGCACCTTTTCTCCACTTTGCAAGGCTCTTCCAGTCTAGGATTTATGATTCTGCACGGGCGGCTTAGATTTAATTACTACACCCATCCATTTTGAAAGTTAGTGTGTTGGGCAGTGTGTAGCTTACGGATTGGTTAATGTGTATTTATTTCTTCCTTCCCAAGATCTTGCTGCTATTCCTGACTTTCAGTCTGGTGCTATGGAAAACTGGGGCCTGACAACGTATAGGGAATCTGCTCTGTTGTTTGATGCTGAGAAGTCTTCTGCATCCAGTAAGCTTGGCATCACGATGACTGTGTCCCATGAACTTGCCCACCAGGTATGAAAAGCTCAGTCACATTTCTTAAAAAGTGAAGCTAAACTGCATCTGTATTGCTTTTATGAGGCATACAAGGCTATTCATACACTGTATTGATAATTTCTACTTTGTCTTTTTTTCCTATAGGAAAAATTTCTTTAAAGCATTAGCTGCCATATATAAAGATACATATTTAAAGGGTTTTCTTTTTATTTTGATAAAATATTGGTTATATAACTATGTTAACATCCATATAACTGACATTACACATATAAAATATATTTCCTTCTGAAGGCCTTATGTTTATGGCTATGTAGGTAATCCAGTCTCCACAGAAATGCATGAATAATCTGAGTAATGATTTCCTTTCAGTGGTTTGGGAACCTGGTCACTATGGAATGGTGGAATGATCTTTGGCTGAATGAGGGATTTGCCAAGTTCATGGAGTTCGTGTCTGTCAGTGTGACTCATCCAGAACTGAGAGTTGTAAGAAGTATTTACTTATTTTTTACATTTTAAGTTAACCTGTTGCTTTGTTTAACATTTCTGGAAAATAGTTTTGATTACAGAATTTGTATGGTAATAACTTCCTTGGGAGTTTAGCTATGAATCATATTCCCAAAATACTAGTGAACTTTACAGATATATATCACAAAGGCTTATTTCCAAGCTGAATTGTGAATTTATGATTGTCGTAAAATTTTATTAAATTTTGTCCTCCTTTAATAGAAATAATGACAGCCTATCTGTTCTGTATCATTTCTCCAACCATCAGATTGCTCACTGAAGTATTAGGTACAGATTGCTATTGTTTCAGTAGAATTCTACTTGCCAAATCAAATAAATTATTCTTAAGGCAACTGCACACTTGATTGTTTATGAACCTAGACTCATGAAACCTCTACATGTTTGTTTTAAATATCATGCATTTAACTTGTGAAAATCACATGCAGTAAAATTTAAAAGAAACTAAACTTTATGTAAAAAAAATCCTTTACCCTTCTATAATGATTTCATTTGTTCATATTTATTTTCTATTTTCATCTTCCTGTATATATAACTTGTACATAGTTATGATTATAATGTACATATAATTATTATACTATAATATATCATAAGCATTTTTCTATATTTCCACATAATCTTTAAAATGATTATGTTAAGTGTATTATTCTATTGGTTTATAGGCCTTAATAAATCAGGTTATAGTTGGAATTTGTCCGCCGTTATTTTTTTTCTTTCACTACATGGTTTTAAAGCTAAATTTCTTTGCTACAAAATAATATAGATGATGACTGGAAATGTTGAAATCACTATACATTTTAGTTTCTAGTTGTGTTGCTATTTGGTTATAGGCATAGTGGTTTTGTTTTGAAGTTAATATGAATTTTTAAATTTTAAAGTGATAAGTAAATATTTATGATGAGAGAAACCTAAAATCATTGTTTCTAGGAATACTCTTTAGAAGGTTTTTTTTTGTGTAAATTCTGTAAATTTATGTTGGACCAGAAATTAGAAGTATGAATCTGCTACTCCAGATCGAACCTTCCTCCTTTCATATTTTTCATCTACATGTAAATCATAGGTGATGTTGTCTGTCTTTTGCCTTGATGTTGTCTTTTTTTCTGCCTCAATAGGAAGATTATTTCTTTGGCAAGTGTTTTGATGCAATGGAGGTAGATGCACTAAATTCCTCACACCCTGTGTCCACACCTGTAGAGAATCCTGCCCAGATTCGGGAGATGTTTGATGAGGTTTCTTATGAAAAGGTAAAAATGAATTATAAGAGTGCAGTTTGGACACTAAAAGTTACAAATACTGGGGTGGAGAGGTTTTAGACTGGGGTTGTGGGGTAACTCGCCCTTCATGAGGAGCAACCCAGATTGAGTACTTCATTTGCTGACTGGTGCTGGCTGGAGTTCACTCTCTTAGGTCTCACTTGCAATTTGTCTAGTAACCCTGAAGTTTAAATTTTGGCAAATTCTTCATTTACTCTGTTGTAAGTTGAAAATTCATGGCCTACTAAAACTCAACAATTAGGTCTTGAGTGAGTATTGCCTTTGTACCAGGCGAAAATTCCTGCCCTTGTGTAGCTTAATTTTCAGTGCCTGTAGGCATGGTTTGCATTATTGAACTGCGAAGTATTGTCCTGTACAATGTGCTTAATAACAGAATTGGGAATTGTTACCAACAATGAATAATTGGGAGATTTTAACATAAAAATCCAGATTTCTGGCTTCTCTTAGGGGAGGGGAAAGAGAGTTCTGGTCACACTGGATGCATGCCCGTGCATCCTCTGGTAACATAGGCGGGAGCTAAGCAATGGTTCCTTTATGAGATCACATTTCTGCTTTCCTAATTTTCCTTCTAACGTCCACCATTTCTATTGTCTTCTCTCTGAGGCAGAAATGTGCCATTTATCATTGTATTTGACTGTTTTATTTGCAGCAAACAGAAAGATATTTCTTGCTTGGATGTTTTTGCAATAGTGCAGGGAAGAGACAAATATATATAAACAAACACATGGAACGATGGAGCAGAATAGAGAGTCCAGAAATAAATGCACATGAATATGGTCAATTTATGACAAAGGAGCCAAGGATATAGAGTTGGGAAAGAATAGTCTCTTCAATAGATGGTGTTGGGAAAACTGGACCCCGTCTTGTACCATTCACAAAATTAAATTCAAAATGGATTACAGACTTGAATATAAAACCAAAATCATTAAAATCCATAGGGAAAAATATATGGGAAAAGCTGCCTGACATGGGTCTTGGCAATGGTTTTTTTTTGTACATGACACCAAAAGTACAAGCAACAAAAACACAGACAAGTGGGACTACAATAAACTAAAAAGCTTCTAAATGGCAAAATAAACAAAATGAAAAGACCATATAGGAGAAAAATGTTTGCAAATCATATATCTGATAGGAGGTTAATATCCAATATATATAAAGGACTCATACAACTCAGTAACAAAATCAGTCTGATTCAAAATGGGCAGAGGACCTGAGCAGAAATTTTACAAAGAAGACGTACAGAGGGACCACAGGTACATGAAAAGATACTCAACATCACTAATCACTGGGGAAATGCAAATCAGAAACTGGAATGAGATACCACCCCACACCTGTTAGAATGGCTACTAGGAAAAAGACAAGAAATAACATGTTGGCAAGGATGTGGAGAAAAGGGAACCCTTGTGCATTGTTGATGGGAATGTGTTTTGGTATAGCCACTATGGAAAACGTTATAGATGTTCCTCAAAAAATTAAAAATAGAACTACCGTATGATCCAGTAATTTGACTTCTGTTCATTTATCCAAAGAAAATGGAAACACTAACCTAAAAATATATGCACTCCATGTTCATTGCAGCATTAGTTATAATGCCCAAGATATGGAAACAACCTAAATGTTTACTGATGGATGACTGGATAAAGGGTGCGTGGCATATATGTATATAATATGTGTGTATGAATATATGTATATATGAGTATTATTCAGCCATAAAGAAGAAAATATTCTCATTTATGACAACGTAGATGGACCTTGTGGGCTTTATGCTAAGTGAAATAAGCAAGAGAAATACAAATGTATGATTTCACTTACACGTGAAATCTTAAAAAAAAAATACAACTCATGGAGAACAGATTGGTGGTTGCCAGAGACAGGGCATGGGAAGTGGGCAAAATGGGTAAAGGAGGTCAAAAGGTACAAACTTTTAAATATAAAAAGTCATGGGTTGTAATGTACAACATGGTGACTATAGGTAATAATGTACTGCATATTTGAAAGTTGCTAAGAGTATATCTTAAAAGTCTTCATCACAAGAAAATTTTGTAACTGTATTATGACAAATGTTAAATTAGATGTACTATGATAATTATTTTGCAATACATACAAATATTATGTCATGTTGTACACCTGAAACTAATATAATGCTGTGTCATTTATAGCTCAATAAAATACAAAAGCTCCAGCCCTGTTGGCAGGCCTGTGCACTTCAGGTAGACATTTGGGGACCCGAGCTTTGCCCGTCCTGTGACCTCTCTGTCCACCAGAGCAGCGGTTTCTAACCTGTGTGCCACCGGAGTCACACCAGTGTCCCACAAGAACTTTTAAACCATGCAATACCTGACTATTTAGTGAGGGATACTGAGCTCTTTTCCCTTAGGTAGTCAAATAAGAAATGACAACAGCCAACACAGTAGCTGTCTGGTATGAGTTAATCAAAATTATGCCTATTGTTTTGGTCAGATTGGCAAAAAATATTTTTTATTTTGGTGTGCCGCAGGACTTTAGTAATTAGTTTGTGTGCTGTGAGATGGGAAACATTGAAAATTGCTGCACTAGAGCCAGAGAGAGAGAAAGACTACCTCCACCTTCAAGAAACCTAAGAAATTCTTCTAGAAAAGATGACTTTTAAATGAATTATTCCAAAATAAAGTGTGATCTTTGATTAGATTGAAGCCAAAGTAGAGCTAACACTTATTTATACTGTCTTTTCAGGGAGCTTGTATTCTGAACATGCTAAGGGATTATCTTGGTGCTGATGCATTTAAAAGTGGTATCATTCATTACCTCCAGAAGTATAGTTATAAAAACACAAAAAATGAGGACCTGTGGAATAGCATGGCAAGTGTGAGTATATTTTTGTGTATCTCCACATTTCGGATTGACAGGCTTATTATTTTTTCTCATATTAATCCCTCTGAGAAGAATCATGAAGTTTTTCTACAGAACTGAGGGTGATGTGTATATTTTTGGTTTTTAGATTTGCCCTTCAGATGACACACAAAGCGTGGATGGCTTTTGCTCTAGGGATCAACATTCATCTTCATCCTCAGTAAGTTTTTACATCTGTACCCGATACCCGTCTGCACATTCTTATACACCATAGCCTTTGACGGTTGGCTCTGTGCCAGACTTTGAGGTCCTTGATTATATCACCCTCACTCTTGAGAAGATTTAAACTATACCAGACTGACATCCTTTTACAATTAAAAAAGTTTTTTTATTTGATTTTTTTTTTCAGAGAGAAAAGGAAGAGGGAGGGAGAAATAGAGAAATAATGAGAAAGAAACATTGACATGTTATTCTACTGAATTATACATTCATTGGTGGCTTCTTGTATGTGCCCTGAACAGTAATTGAACCCACAACATTGGTGTATTCGGACAATGCTCTTACCAACTAAGTTACTTGGCCAGGGTGGCTTTTACAATTTTTATTTATTTTTAATTTTTTAAGATTTTATTTATTTTTAGAGAGGGGAGAGAGGGAGAAAAAGAAGGAGAGAAACGACAATGTGGGGTTGCATCTCGTGCACCCCCTACTGGTGACCTGGCCCCAAACCCAGGCATGTTCTCTGACTGGGAATTGAACCAGCAACGGTTTGGTTCACAGGCTGGCACTCAATCCACTAGCCACACCAGTCAGGGCACAATTTTTAAGAAATTATCTACAGAAGGCAGTTGCACAGTTCCTTTAGTAACATGTCTCACTGATACTGATTTCTTCAGCTTCACCCTCTAAAGCGGTGAATTTATGACAGGTTTCTGTGGGAGATTAGGGCTTTATCAGTCAGGTGATGTCGGTTATTTCCATGCAGCTTCATTTGTAAGGAAACAAATAATGGCAGCGAGTATTCTTGAGTATTTACTACAGACCGTGTTATGTGCATTGCTGCTTTTACTCTTCACAGTAAACCTATGAGTGGAGTACTCATCCCTATTTTTACAGATGGGAATATGAAATCTAAAGGCATGTCGTTAGTAAATTACAGATCTGAGATTTGTATTTGGATCTCAGTTGTGTTTTTAACTGTTAAGCTATAAGGAATTCATAACATCAGAATCACAAAACAGTCTGCATCTCTATTTATCTCAACTTACAGAATATTTTCATAGCAGCTGTGGGTTAGTCTGGAGATTGAGCAGAATTTTATCCACTGTGTTTTTGTTTTCTTGGGTTTTTTGTTTTTAGATATGGCTTTATTCAGTAGTTTATAGATTTGTTCTGTAGTATATTTCATCCTCTCACTAGCTTTTAAATATTTCTTAAAAGCTTTTTTTTAAGTATCAAAGAATATATCCTGTTTTGCGTTCATAACTGCTTGTCCATTGTGGCCCGCCTGGGTGTCATCACTTTGGAAGTACAGGCTCCTGACTGAGCACTTTTCCCCACCTTGCTTGTCTGTGAGCCAGCGTGACTAAGCAGGTTTTGAACACCTGGTCCCTTTCCTTTCTCTACTTTCATTCATATGTCTGTCTGGTGCTGGGTGCCAAGCCCAAGGTTCCCAGTAGAACCAGACATGATACCTGTTCTCGAGACACACATGTGCAGAGGAAGAGGTAGAAAATGAAGAGTAAGCAGTCAGTGCTTTAATGAACAACATGCTATGGTTGGAAACAGTGGGGGAGGGAGCAAAGGAAAGGCTGAGGAAGAGCTTCACAGAGCAGGTGGTCAGCCAGTAGCAGTTCTGTCTGCGAGGGCAAGCTTGGGTTCCGTCTTCTGTTAGAGTTGAGTCTAAGTGGGTCATGCATCTGTCATTTTCTGTATAACCCAGCACTGGCTACAGGAAGGCCTTGATGTGAAAACCATGATGAACACATGGACGCTGCAGCAGGGCTTTCCCCTGATAACCATCACCGTGAGAGGGAGGAACGTCCACATGAAGCAAGAACGCTATCTGAAAGGACATGATGATGGCCCAGAGTCTGGGTAGGGGTCACTGAGAACAACTCTCCCCTCCCCCCCACTTGGTAACATCTTCCTTGTAGGATAAAACTCTATTTTTGAAATAGTGCCTTTACCTTTACTACTAAAGGATTTCAATCAAATCTGTATATCCTATAAGGTTGAGTTATACACCACCATCTCCCCAAGAGGACGAAGGTGGCTCTAGACCTTGGTTCATCTCAGTGAAGCTGATGATATAGAGTTATTTTAACATTCTCATGTTTTGTAGTTTGATAGGATGGTGATTTCTAGTTATTGGCTTGAAATTAGCTCCCATCTAAGTAACCACCACTAAAGTACAATAGTGTCTGGAAATTATGATTTCTGGGAATTATGAAAAACTCAATTCTTTTGGAAGTCTGAGATCCTGGGACTTGTTTATCAGCTTAACACTACAGAAAGACATCACTAGAAATGACATACTGCAACTTGATTGACCCTAGATGGACACTATTTTTAAACATTTTTATTTCAAAAGAATTTTAGATTTAATGAAGTTGTAAGAAGAGTGCAAAGAATCCCCATATACTTTTTAACCAGATATATGTTAACAATTTATCACATTTGCTTTATTTCTCTCTGCATATATCTCTACATATATGCTGTGTGTGTGTGTGTGTGTCTGTGTGTGTGTGTGTATATATATATATATATATATATATATATATATATATATATACAGGGTCTGGCACAAAAAAACACTCCTTTTTTTTATAAAATCTTTTATTACAAAATCATAAGCATGTAATTCTGTAACATAACATTATCACACTCAAACACCATATTACATTTTAGGTGAAATGTTCATATTGCTGTCCATCTCGTGAGAGACATTCACATACCCTACCACCCACTCTCAAGCAAGCCTTGCTGTTGCTGGACTCGTGTGTGTGTGTGTGTGTGTGTGTGTGTGTGTGTGTGAACTATCTGAGAGTAATTTGGAGACATGATGCTCTTTTACCCCAAAATAGTTTGGTGTGGTAGTTTCTAAAAAAACAAGATATTTAGTTATATAACCACAGCACAATTATCAAAATTATGAAATAAACTTGCTACAGTGCTATTATCTAATCTACCAACTTTATTCAGATTTTTCCAATTGTTCTAATAATGTCTTTGTAGCAAAAGAAAAATTCCTGTTCAGGCAAGATTCAATATTAGGGTCATATTGTATTAATTGTTACATTTCCTTAGTCCCTTTTCTCTGAAACTGCTGCTTGGGCTTTGTGTTTCTTGACCTTGACATTTTTGAAGAGTACAGGCCAGTTATTTCATGGGATATCCTCCAATTTTGGTTTTCTGCTGTATCTTGATGATCAGATTCAAGTTATGCATCATTAGAAGGAATTGGATAGAAGTGAAATGTTCTTCTTAGCATATGGTATAGGAGGCACATGATGTCAGTCTGTGCCATTACCAGTGGTCGCAGTTTTTAAGTTCAGCCCTCTGAACTCCCAACCAATCGCTGCGAAGGCTGACAGGGCTCACTTGAGCCCAAATTCCTAACCCTACTTAAGGAGCCTAAGAAGGATGAAGAGTGCCTGAAAACAGGATGGGAGTGTTTGGATTTCTTGGCTTTGGCAGCTTTGATACCATTGTTTCTTACTGGCACATGATAGATGATTTAATAACTGCTTGCTCAGTTGAATCAACAAATGAGCAATTCATCCTCCTTCCTTTTAGGTACCTGTGGCATGTTCCATTGACATTCATCACCAGCAAATCAGACTCAGCCCATAGATTTTTGCTGAAGACAAAAACAGGTAATTTGTTGTGGAAATTACTAGGTTAATGCAAGAGAGAACTGTGGAAATAGGCAGGATTTAGGTACTACCTTTCTTTTGCCATTTATCTTGATTAAAAAGAATCAGGTCAATCTTCATCTTCAGCAAATCTCTGGCTTTCATTTTCTAGTGAAGTCTCTAGGTTTGAAAACACTGTCTGGTTGCAAAAAAGGCCCGTATCTTGCCAGATAGAGATTAAAACAGTTGAGTTATGTGATGCTATAAAGAAGGGATTACTAATAAAATTCCCCATTACTTTAATATTCCTGGGTTATATTGTATGGCCTGAAATGTGGCTGCATTCTTCTCAAAGATCTATAAATCTCACAAAATTGGTGTCTAAAACTAGTGTTAGCTATTGTCTTCTGGGCTGCTGTTTTCTGGTTTCCAAAAGAAACGGGTTCAATATGAAGCTCACTTCGGTATGTAAACTGTTCAGTATTAAACTTGCCTTTAGTTTCATGGTTCAGTCTCTGATCAGAAAAGCTTTCATCTGTCAAGAGAGAAAATGGAGCTATGATTTATTTTATTTGCTCTAGATGTGCTCATTCTCCCAGAAGAGGTGGAATGGATCAAATTTAATGTGGGAATGAATGGCTATTACATTGTGCATTATGAGGATGATGGATGGGATTCTTTGACTGGCCTTTTAAAAGGAACACACACAGCAATCAGCAGTAATGATCGAGCCAGTCTCATTAACAATGCATTTCAACTTGTCAGGTAATACAAGCTCCTCCGAGTCTTGGTTTATTTCTGAAAGCAGCTGTTATCACTCAAATTCTTGATTTCTAAAGAAGAAAATGATTGATTGCTAATATGAAGTTGAAGGGTGTTTTCCCCTAAGTTCTTCTAACAATCCAAGATTGCTTTTAGCCTTATGGTTAACCTCCTGTCTGGGTCTGCTGAGCAAGGTAAAGGAAGGAATCTGTATTTTAATCTTTTTCATTAACAACTGTGATCACATGGAGGCAAAAGTGTGGAGAATCAGGAGACCACCCTGGAGGAGCCCCTTGCCGAGTTTTGGAGCTTGTGCCGCCTCTCTCCCTGGCTCTACTTTAACAGATCAGGTTTCTCCCCCTGCTGGGTCTTTAACAATCTTGAAGCCCCCTCAGAAGAATGAGTGGCCCGGGCCCAAGTTGTTCGCATTGCATTTCTTGGATTAAAAAGGGGCTTCCCCCTGCCCCCGCCCCGCATCCCCAACTGGATCCCTGGACTTCACAGCACCTTTATGGAATGCAGCTCATAAAATGCCGGCCAACCAAATGACCTTTGAGTTGTTGAGAATAGTGTGCACTCTAAATTTTTGCCCCGTGGCAATAGTTTTTAAGAAAATGGTCCGCAAGCTGAAAATTGCACTTCTTCAGTATTTAGGCAGAGAGGAATAAGTGATCATTCTCCTCATATCCCATGCCCCTCTGCTCTAAATGTCAAGTTCTTCCTGTTCTGGGCCTCTTGATGTAACAAAAAGCAACGGGGGATGAAAATGGAGGTGGCTCAGCTAGCTGTTTCTGCATGCCTAAAAATACTCCCCCATGGAGCATACTACTGCTTAAGTCTTAGAGGGCTTTGTACTTTTATGAACATGTATCTTACCATTGAGGTTTTTAAAAAAAAAAGATTTTGTTTGTTTTTAGAAGGGAAGGGAGAGAGAAAGAGGGAGAGAAACATCGATGTGAGAGAGAGACATCGATCAGTTGCCTCTTGTACACACCCCAACTGGGGACTGAACCCACAACCGAGGCATGTCCCCTGACTGGGAATCGAACCAGTGACCTTTCACTTCTCAGAATGATGCTGACCAATGGAGCCACACCCATCAGGCACCACTGAGGCTTTTAACACCAGCCCTCTATAATGAAGGGTTTACACCTATATTCGGTTTCTTTTTGGAATGGAGAAGAGGATGTGTTGACTCCAGAGACTCACACTGTCAACTGAGGGGCAGTCTCTCTAACTAGGCTTCCTGAATGATCATTGATCAAAGTCCCCATCTAACCCTGTAAGTGCAGCACACAGTCCACTGTTTCACAGAGGGACAGACATGTGCTTGCATTGTGTTTCAACCACAAGCCAGCCCTAGCTCTGTTGTTATTTGTGAAACCTCCTCTACTGTAAACATGCCAGATGTTGTGGTACGTATGACGGAAAAGATGCTAATGTAAAGATCCTTATTAATAAGGGGCATTGATAACTGAATTTTTGCTGTAAAATTGTTAAAATATCTTTTGAAACAGAAGGTTGATTTGCTGGATTTAAACTGATAACCTTGATGGGTCTTCTGACACAGCATTGGGAAGCTACCAGTTGAAAAAGCCTTGGATTTAACCCTGTACTTGAAAAATGAAACTGAAATTATGCCCGTGTTCCAAGGTTTGAATGAGCTGATACCTATGTATAAGTTAATGGAGAAACGAGATATGAATGAAGTGGAAACTCAGTTCAAGGTAAAAACTTGAAATAAATTAGTTACATAAGGGGTTTGCTTTTATATGGGTGTGGAAGTATCCTCACCATTGTGTATATGTCTTGGTTTATATTAAATAAAAGTAAATTGAAATTAACTCAGTATTTGGATTAACTAGCAAAGATATTGGTTTTATGATAGCACTAAAAATAGACATAGCACTATATGTGGTTCTATACTTAATTTTCATGGATTCTTACTCCCTTTTTGCAAGTTATTTCATTTTACTTCTATATTATGATGGTTGCTATTAAGATTTTCTGGAACTCAAGTACCTGAAGATGAAGTACAACATTGTTATTTTTGGCAAATTGTCATGAAGTCCCATTGTGTAATTTGCTCTCAAAATGCAGTCATATTAACTCCTTGTTTTAAAAGTGGCAGTTTTTCCTGATTTAAAGTAGATGAAAATATATTTATAAAATGTTGTTATGCAAATACTAAAATAGTTCATTATTTCTTGTTTTTGACCTGTTTTTTAATGAAATATAAACCGAACTGCATGGTTTTTAGAAAAAGAGTTGTATTAAGCTTTAAAAAATATTCCGTATCACCTGAGTTTGTATTGGATTATGTAAAATGCGAGAGGACCTGGGACAGTACTGGTGACACTGTGGCTTCCCGCCAGGCCTTCCTCATCAGGCTGCTGAGGGACCTCATTGATAAGCAGACGTGGACTGATGAGGGCTCCGTCTCAGAGCGGATGCTGCGGAGTCAGCTCCTGCTCTTCGCCTGTGTGCGCAAGTATCAGCCCTGTGTGCAGAAGGCAGAAGGCTATTTCAGAGAGTGGAAGGAAGCCAATGGAAACCTGAGGTCTGTCCTTACCACACAACCAGTTCATTCATGTAAGGGGTACCTTTCCTATTTTCCATCATCACTGGGAGCAAAACCAACTATAGACACGTCTCCCCTGCCTCCCTTTTTAGGCAAACAAGATACTCTTTAAGATTTATCTGTGGATCTCTCAACTTGAAGTCATGCCAGGAGGGAACTTCTGTGCACAAAAATCAACTCTCTGGAGAGTTAGAATGAGATTAGAATAATTTCCTTTTTATGCAGCCAAGAATACAAAACTTTACCAGACTGAGAGACAGCTGCACTCGACAGGAACAGAGGCGATGCATCTCACAGTTGTTTCTGTGGGTCTGCAAAGTCCCCAGCAGGGGGCGCACAGTAGTTGTTGACCCTAAGGATCCTCCTATATTTGGAAATTTAGGTCTTGCTATACTTACATATATTTGAGGCTTAAATCCCATGTAGGAAATATGAAGAGAAAAAATGAAGCTTTCATTTAAAGAAACGCTTATAAACGGTGGGCCTATTGGATTCCTGACATATGTTCATGGAATACATCTTGAGTCAAGTTTGAATCTCTTTATTGAGATTTAACGTCATTAAACTATGTTAGAGTCATAGGTATTTATAAAAGTGGTGTTTCCCATGACACTTTTGAGAAGGTTACTCACAACCTAATTTTAGGTATTTTTCCTTGCCTCTTCCAAAAAATTTAACTGAAGAGGTTATTTTTGTTTAGATTTCCAGACATGCTTCTCTGATCCTGAGGCCAGTTTATCAGTTTATAGTTGATCACCATGTTGCATCCGGACAGTTCCTACATCTCAGACTCTCACCGGGTGTGTTCTTTTCCACAGATTGCCCAACGATGTGACCTTGGCAGTGTTTGCCGTGGGAGCCCAGACCACCGAAGGATGGGATTTTCTTTATAGTAAATATCAGTCTTCTTTGTCCAGTACTGAGAAAGAACAAATTGAATTTGCCCTCTGTGTTAGCCAAGATAAGGGAAAGCTTCAATGGTAAGTAATTCATTCATGATCATGTGACCAAAGGGAATTCAGTGAGATGACTTCTGGCATCTATTTTTGTTCTTTTGGCCAGGACTTGCCTATTCTGGGAACATTTATGCTGGTGGGCACATGTCTAAGGAGTATGGTAAATAATTCGGGGGAAGTAGGTGTTAGGAAAAATATTTAAAGGAGCATATATTTGTGTATCTTTAAAATAACAAACATAGAAATATATACTTTCTTTTATAAGCAGATGAGAGAGTATGTGAGAATGTGTATTGTAAATATTATGTGTTTTATTATTACATAACTAAAACGAGTTTATCAGGGCTGTGGTTACCTATTTATCTTTCCCATCTTTGTTATTGGCAGAAGGGCTTTTAAATTCCACAAATTATTTTATGGACTTTCTTATTTATACCTTTTTCAGAGTCTATTAATTGTTAAATTTCTTCTCTTAATCATTCTAGGCTACTAGACCAAAGTTTTCAGGGAAATGTAATAAAAACTCAAGAATTTCCTGGTATTCTTAGACGTATTGGCAGAAACCCGGTGGGATATCCATTGGCCTGGCAGTTTCTGAGGGAAAAATGGAATAAACTTGTAGAAAAGTAAGTAATGCCAAAAATTGTGCCATGACCGGAAAAGTTCCTGAACCTTGCTATGTTTTTGCTGTTTATAAAACAACAATGATTGTCTAAAGGGGGTTTTTGATTGAAGGTAGAAAGTAGAGGTACTTAAAATATCCTTAGAAAATATACAAATCTAATTCATTGCTAGCTAATGAATCTGGATAGTCAGGTTTTCCACTCCATATGGAATAACCCCTTTCTGTACCTACTGACCCATTTGAAGTCTTGCTGCTCAGCGCTTTTGCTGGTTTGCATCTGCCCTTGTCTAACTCTGACAGCATTACTACCTCTATCATTTTCTTTTGGGTACTTTCATCTTTTATTCAGCTGCTGGTGTATATTTTTTGCAACTAGATCTTTGCAACTAGAGGGTAGGGATCATGTCCATGTTTTTCATGCCTAACCAGTTTTTAAGCGATGTAACATATGAGGCACTTAAACGTATATGTTGAAAGAATAAATATTTCACAATGTAACTTGACAATTTCCATTTCTAGGTTTGGACTTGGCTCAGCTTCTATAGCCTACATGGTAATGGGAACAACAAATCAATTCTCCACAAGAGCGCGGCTTGAAGAGGTAAAAAAAAAAAAAATCCCTTTTAAGCATAAGTGACAATTAGGTAATAAATATAGTGTAGACAAAATATTTTAAAGGTGTGATGAGTTAGAAATGGATTTTGTCACTTAGTAGATGCTCTTTTTGGATGCTGTGGTTTTTAACATAAGCAAAAATCAGTTACAAATGCACTAGTAAAAATTGTGTCTCTTCCCAAACACATTAAGAAGTCTTAGCCTTGCCATTACAAGTTTTAGAGCTTAAAATTACTTTAAACATTTAATCCCTGTTTTCAGATGTTAAAAATGATCATTGGAGGTATAAATATAACTGAAGTGATCACCTAGCTATTATGAAAGAGGTTGGTGTGGAATTTAGGTTCTCCACTATCCAAGTTCATGATTTCCTGCTACTCGTTTTTATGCCATCTACTTTCAGAAAGAATTTTAGGCAATCTGTAAGGTCCATATATAAAAGATGTTAAAATAAAAAACAGAAAACTGCATAATGGACAGAAAGTGGTAACTGTAGGAAAGTTTATGCTGAGGATTTATTGCAATTGTACCTTAAATTTATCACAGGTTTCTAGCAGTCAAAGAAAAATGAGAAAACAGTGTGAGTTAATCCCTTTGTCTGGTAGGAGGGAACCATACAAGTTTCCCACAATAGCATACTTTTCTCCAAGTCTTAAATTCTGAGAAATTTGATATACCGGTTGTTTGTGGTACCCCTTCTATGATGGTTTGTATAGCAAAGTCGTAAAACAGATTTTACATGATTTTAAAACTATGTTGCATTCAGATAAAATCTAAGAGCCAAACATTAATTTTTTAAGGAACAGTTTCATGTGTATTCTGGTTACACCGTGATCTAACTTGGTATAGGAAGAGTGCTTTGAAAATGCAAAAGAAATGTCATGTCCCTTACCTTTTGTCCAGTTTTCAGTAGCCTCACCCAGGCTTGTAAAATTAACTTGCACATAATATCTCAAGATGGAACTCCAGTGAGCGGCCTAGGATTGTCTGTAGGCTGTGACTAGCTGGATGACTGGCCATAGGCCAGATGTGTAACAGCAAAACATTTCCTTCACTCAGTCGTTCATTCGTTTTCTCATTAATTCATTCAAGACATTGTATCCTTACTATATGGCAGGCTTGGTTTTAGGTTCTGGGGTATGATGATGAACAGGATAGACAAAACCCTTGCCCTCATGGAGCTTAAATTATACTGGGGCAATCAGATTATCACAACCAACCTGGTTAGGTTGAAGACAATAAGGCAAGGTAAGGATAGAGAGTGGCTGGGATAGGGAATGGTGCTATGTTTCCTAAGATTGATTAGGAGACATCTGAGTGGACAAAAAAAGAAATGCAGGTATCTAGGAGGAGAGTGTTGTGTGCATATAAAACATCCTGTGCAGAAACTCTGAGGCAGGACATGGAGATGAAGGAGCCTGAGGTATTGTCATAATAGAAATTGTCCTACTGATATTTAAAACACAGGAGCCATCTAGAACCCTTCCTTCCCCTTGTATCTAATTCATTTGAAGTCCTGTTGGCCTTCTCTGGCATATACACCATATCCGTGCATTTCTCTCTGTCCCTTCTATCTAAGCCTCTTATTTTTTGCCTGGTCTATGATGAAAGAGCCTCCTAACTGGCCTCCCTCCTGCCACTTCTCCATTACCAACCCATTTTCCACATTTAAAACTGAAAATCAGCCCTTGAAATTGTGCCTGTTGCTCCTGCAATACATTCCAAACCTCTCCATCCGTGTGCCCAAGACTGTGATGACATGGCCCCTGCCCGCGTCTCCTGCCCGTTCCCCCACGCTCTCCTTGTCCACTCGCACTCAGTCCCCAGCCCCTCAGCCTCCTCGGCTGCCAGATGTTTCTCCGATCTCAAACGTTCTGCACTTCCTTCTCTCACTGGCTTGCTCTTTCTCCAACCGTCTCCTGGAAAGAATCATTTTACCCATTAGAGGTTCAAGCTCAAGGGTCACCTTGCCAGGCCACTCTGTGTACAGCAGGCCACCCCCTCCCCAGTTACTATCATAGCCCTAGTTTATTTTCACAGCAGTTAACTTAATCATAGTTTATTGCCTGTCTTCCCAGAGAGACTGTAAGCTCCATAAGCATAGGGTGCTTGCCCGATTCACTGTCTCATCCTCAGCACTAGCACAGCAACCGGGGCACAGTTAATAAGTACCCGTGTAAATTCATGACTAAATGAGTGAGGTTGAGTCCCTGATACATGCTGGGTTTTAGGTTCTGCACCTTGTCCACATTATAGAACTACATCCTTACTTTCCCTCTGAAATGTAGAGATGACCCTCATTTAACAAATGAAGAGACTGGTTCCCAGAGAAGTTATTTGCTCAAGGTCAAACAAGTTAGTAGAATGAACCTGTTTTTCTGTTCCTATATCATGCTGCTTGTGGCACTGGTGATGTTCTCAAGGAGGCAGGTTTGAGTCACTTACTCAGAGGACATGCTGCATTCTCCAAGGCAGATAATATAGGAAAGAGAACTTTGGGTCAGAAAAAGTTCTTTGAGGACAAGGGTTAACAGTTGGCTTCCTTGCAATCATGTAAGTCTGTTTTCCAGTGGTGCTCTCATGATGGGCTCCTTCAGGATTAGACAATTTAACCAACTAGTAAAAATTATTGATATGTTTTGACTGTTGAAGGGTGCCCAGATTAATTTTTAATGGAGTATCAGTTAACCTTGAGTTCTGAGAGTATGAAAGAAGGTTGAGCTACAACTTAGGACAGAGAAGCAGAATGAGTGTTTTCTAGGTGCAGGAGGACATGCCTCTGAGCTCATTGAGAAGTTGCACTGCAGTATCCTAATTATAAGACAACTCTGCATCATTTAAAATAGAAATTTGATCTCTCAAAAACCCATTCTTAACCCCATCTTATTTTCAAACTCTTATGATATTATGACGTGGACTCTTTTAAAGGGGTTAACTGCCTGGGATCCATGCATCTTGGCCTAGACTTGCTTCTTGTCTACAAAATCAAAAATTGATAGATAAATGCTGTGAAAATTTATGGGAAAAGGTTAAGAACCCTTGAAGGCAAAACAGAGTAGCACCATGATTAGCACTTTGGCAAACCAGCCTATTCCTCATGTGAGCTTAAAGGGGTTAAGATACCCAGCGGTGAAACCACAATAAAGATATTCTTGAAGACATAACTGAGTTTCTTATCTCTTTTAAACCATGGGGAACTTTGTGTGGACTTTATCTTGAGGGAACAATACCTGAATTGTGGATTAGGATAACAAAAACTTGGCAGAGTTTGGGGTATTACCACCATGACTTGCTAAGAACCCCATTCCCCGCAGTCTTTCTATAATAACACACAAGGCCAGGTCCACAGAGAAGGGCTACACTTGTGTGGTTGAAACTGTTTTGCTTGGCAAAGAAGAGACTCTGCACATTCTGGTTTTTAGATATCATGTTTTAAAAAATTAAGTTTGCATCTGTGTGTATATAACAGAATACACATTAAACAGACACACTCAATTAAACCTTAATTATAAAGTGGTAAACAGTGAAGTCTTTTAGAATCTGGCAACTGTGAATAAATTGAAAAGCTGCAGAGAAAAAACACAAAACGACATCATGAGGCATGAGTTCATTTCATATAGCTTACGTTTGCGTACATAATCGTATCCAGACACCTGGTGCTGCCTTCCATACAGAATTTTGACAAATGCCGGCATTTTGGCTTCAGTTTTCTTTTAACTAGCCTGAACTTATATTTGTATAATGTAATAAAGCAAAAATTTTAAACCCCTTTTTTTTTCCTTACAAGGTAAAAGGATTCTTCAGCTCTTTGAAAGAAAATGGTTCTCAGCTCCGTTGCGTCCAACAAACAATAGAAACCATTGAGGAAAACATACGCTGGATGGATAAGAATTTTGATAAAATCAGAGTGTGGCTCCAGAATTAAAAGCTTGAAATGCTGTAGCAAGTCATTCCTTATTGTACCTGTGATTTATAATCACCAAAACTCTGTTGAATGTGAATATTTTCACACTGGAGATGGCTGTTCTGGCTCCCCCTGAACATACTTCCTTTTCCTTCAACTTATTCATTTGGACCCATCCTTTGAAAAGTCTGGCTGTTAACTTTTTCCTCAGTGGGTTATGGCTCGCATGTATCTCACTTACAGGTGTTGCCCCCAGTGTCAACCCCGAGTGGTGGGCTCCCCACTGTCAAAGAGTAGGGTACCTCATTCTTCTCATTTTATATTTTATGCTTAAGCTCCAGAGTCTCCAAATCCTTTCTCCCCAAGTGTTTGTCATTCATAAGCAGTTTTGTTAGCCCCTCTAGCACTTTGCACAGTGGAGACTACTGACAACAACCCCCTGGATCAGCGACAAGCCTGGCTGGTCCGCTTTCTAACCTTCTCTTCCTTGCTGCATGCCAGGGGCAGACTTGTAGGGCCACGTTGCCAGGCTTCCTTGCCTTCTGGCTTGTGGCCAGTCTCTCAGAAGGGCAGATGGGAGCCGGGGTGGGAGGGAGGAGATGGGTGTTTACTGCTAGTTCCCTTGCAGGTTGCCGTAGGTTGGCCTCCACGAAGGTCTCAGCTGTGGGTGGTGGCCTTCTTTCCCACACAGCCTTCCCCATCTCTGTTCTAGTGACTGCTTCCTTTTCTCACCCCTTCGGGACGAAAGATGAAGTGGCAGCCTGGCTTTTACTAGTCCTGGCTATACTATAGTTTCCATACAGCAGCTACCTTCGTTTAAAAACGAAGCCCCTTTTATGGAACCCTCCTCAAATAATCCTAATGTGAGTGTGTCATCTGTTTCCTCAGGGACCCTGACTGATATAGTATCCCTTCTGAAACAGCAGGTACATTCAGGTCTAGAGGAGAAAGCTTCCATTTGAAGGTGAACCTGAGAGCTATTGATCCTTAGGTAGGTGGTGCTGCTTCTCTCTGCTTGTTATTTGGCCTAGTTTGTAATTCCTGAACAACTCACTGCAGTCTCCAGTAAATGATAATGTATTGTGAAACTGAAAATACTTGTTTCTATTACTCTAAGTGAGAAGTCTTTTATGAGGTTTTTAATATACTGCAGAATTTTCAAGAGAAAGGAATATGATATGAAAAATGTCAAAATGTGTTCTGATGCACTAGGGATAGTAATTTTTCAGGATATAAATGTGTTTATAATTCCATTTTTATACACATTGCATGGTTTAATGTTTTGAGAAATAAAAACAGAAACAAATCCCTGGTAATTTCCACCCTTACGTATTTTCCTCCTAAAAAAAAATACAAAGTCAAGATTTTAATGTAAAATAATTTTCTTTAATTGTATTTTATATCTTGATTAATGAAACATAGAAATAGTGATTTTCAGTTTTGGTCACCTGAGGAACCTACTTTCATTTGCTTCTGGAGAAGTCCATTTCCTAAATAGACACGATACTGCTTCAGCTATGTGCAAAACTTTTTGGTAATAAAAAATTGTCTGTTATTTACCTCTAAGGGGGTATTTGCAATTATTTCCTTCTTATCAGATGGGTAAAGAAAGACTGATTTAGACCCTATAGCTCACTCTAGCCATTGTAAATTATTAGCACACACCCATGTCTTGAAGACATTTCTCATGCACAAAAAAGCATACTCAGAGTACCTTAGATACATGTTTACTTTCATAGATAGTTCTTAAGTCTCTGGGTTTTGGTATGTCATTTAAAAAATATATGCATAGAAGTTAGTAATACCACAGCCAAATCCTTGCAAACAAATCTGTTAATGTCCAAGGTTTTATCTTTTTTAACAAAAAAATCCCCACTTTATACTACCCAAATGGAAGAATTAGAGACAATTAAAATCCCTCAGGAAATGTGTGTTTTTCTTGTCAGTGCTTGAAAAGGTCTGTTTAGTCATCATAACACGGGCTTAGATTCACCAGACCTAGAATAAAAGAAAAATGCCTGCATCTCTGGTGGGATAGACATAGCATTTAAAGTGGTTTTGCATAGCATTGCAGTTTGAAATCCCATAGGTATATGTGCATGATTTGATGCCCATTATAAGTGGACTTATTTTTGCTTGTCCCTCCCTCCACATTAGACAGTATTTGTGATATTTAGTGAAGTCAGCTAAGTCCTAATAAATAAAACCTCTAAACAGATGCTAAAGAGGGCTGTGCTCTCTGAAACAAGAAATTCCAAATCAGTCTATGATATGTACCTGGTACCTTTTCCTGCATTCACTATTTATCCAAATCTCATCAACGACATCAGTGCTATGTTCATAAACAGTTCATTCAGGAAGATCTAAGAAACCATTCAAAGTTGTAGGACATCAGAACCTAGTTCTCAAGTTGCTTTGGTGGGGGGAGCAAATCTTTAAATTCCAGATTTTTTTTTTTTAAAGCACAAGTTCAGCTTTGTATTTGGTAAACTTAACTTCCATAAAGCCAAATGCTATACAGTGCAAAGACTAGAGTTGCAATGGCTCTAAGCAAACAATTGCTGCTAAGGTTTTATATATAGTGAGTGGAAAGCACAGCTTAATGGTAAACCAACTGAGTTCAAGCCATATGAATATTCTAAGTAGATTTTATTATTCCTGGAACTTGCTATGCAGTGACATACAGTCTGTATCTTGCTCTTCTGACTTGATTCAAGTCTCATTATGTTTTGTGCTGGCTATAAGGTGCAGAAATCCTAACCTTTGGCAAAGAAGAGTTTAACCTGTAAAGGCGTGCAGTGCTTCCTGGTCTGCCCAGGTTACCTATTAATTTATTATTAGCAGCCCAAGAGGAGATATGTGTCCATGTACAAGTTTTTATATCAGACTTACAAACATTAACCCAAAGAAACATCAAATACAGTTCAAAAGCCCAAGAGAAAAGAGGTAATGAGAAAACAGAACATTGAAGGATGTTTAAATCATTGTTTTCTAAATGCTAACAACAGCAACAAAAAATTAAGTGCAAACCAAAACTACTGAGATTTATAGGCACTGTGTGTAGAATGTGCAAAAGTTTGCAAAGGGTTTTCCTTTCTGGGGCTGTGTGTTGCTTTAAGAAACTATCAAATACATCTCTTAGAAATATAAAGTTCCTTTCTCTCCCAACTGAAGGCAATTTTTAAAAATTCAAAGTTTATCAATACTCCATACAATAGCACATGTGAACCAGACATTCAGTTTCTTTCTGGGAAAAGAATAACCGATATTTAGGATGTCAAAAAAAAAAAAAATTCAACAAATACCACTGTCTAGAAGCCACCCAGAAAAAAATTTGTTGTCAAATCCTTTTGTTCTTCAGAAGTCATCATTCACCAGCTGAAGATTTTATATGTAGATACCTTGAAAAATTCAAAAAAAAAAGAAATCCAGTGAACCACTTTGGTATGCAATTTTCCTTCCTCCTTTTCTCCCTTCCTCCCTTCTTGTTATAAGGCATGGTAAATTTAACATTTAGCAAAGAGCATTGTATAACAGACCAGAAGGAATTTCCTATACGTAAATATGAGAATGGATAGTTAATAGAATTTTTTTTTTAATTTGGGGGAAAATCTTTAGAGCAGTACACCTCCCCCCTCTTTTACAGGAAATAAAAGCGGACCATGGTAAAAGAGCCTAACCCAGCTTAACATACATTTTTATTTCCTTTAGGCTTTGGTTGGCAAGCAGTTAATAAGCTTTTATGGGTTAAAATAAGGCCTCTTCTGTCTGAAGTTAGTAAGTTAAGTGCCTAGCTCTCAAGACAGATCTCAGAGATGCCCTCATCCATACAAGCTCCTAAGTTACATTAGGTAGAATCAAACACAGTGTTTTACTTTCACAAATTAAGAAGAACAAAAGTGGTCAATCTTTCTTTACCCTCAGTTCCAAAATTCCTATAATTTCCACCAGACCCCAAGGAGTACTTCTCTCACCCACCATGTGTTGGTGTCAATAACATAAGGACATTTCACTAAAAGAGGTAACACAACATGCTAATTTTGCTTTGCCACAGTAACCTACAATCATGAGCATTTGGGTTTCCAAGAGTCAACTAGACTTAGATGGTCATTTTCTTTAAGACTCTGGCTTAATATTTTAAAGAACCCTTAATTATAAGATTAATGGCTTTTAACTTTCCAATAGCACAATTATCCCACTCAGTGCTTTTCAGGGAATTACACTATAGATTTTGCAATGTGTATTTCATGCCAGCAGTATAAGGAGAACATGAAATACTCAAGAAGTAGACTTAGTTTCTCTGGCCTATAACACACAGGTTATTAGAAGGTACAGTTGCCTCCGTTTACAACAAACATTCAACTTACCAAGTACTGTGAACTCTAACTTGTATTTTTTCCATCAGCTTTTGGCTTGGAGGTTTCCTCCTTTGCCTAAAAGGGAAAGCAAAACCATCAATGAGCTCTTTCTTTTCTGGATTTTAGGTATCATAAAGCTAAATAACCAGAAGATTCTTAGGAAGTGGGTTCCTCTGAATTAAAGAAGCAAAAGATGGTAGTCAGTTGGAGAAAATAAGATGGTTCTTTCTAATTATCTTTTTTATTTAGCCACAATACTATGAATTCTTCCCCTTTAAGTTTATAAGCTAAAAATAACCTGAAGTGATTCTAAATACTTTACTCTAGACTTTTTTTTTTTTAAGACCAAGGTAACTGAAGAAAAAAATATGTAGTAAATGTTCTGGGATGCCTTGTTTGTACTTTCTGTGGTGATTCCCTTCCCTGTAAGGGGGCATTGCTGGCCAGCTCATCCACTCAGCATACAGGGTTATTATGCTTTCTACTTTATGTGAAAGAGTTTATCATGTACTTTGTATAACTGAAGTTAAATAATAAGCAAATTAATCTATTTCAGATAATGGCATGAACAACTAATTATCAACCTGGTTTCTTATATTCTTCATGAGCTTACTACCTTTTTTATTGATGTATAATTGATATATGATTAGTTTCAGGTATACAACATAACGTTGCAATATTTGTATATATTATGAAATGATCATCAAAATAAGTCTAGTTAGCATTTGTCACTATACATAGTTTTTTTTCTTGTGATGAGACTTTTAAGATCTCTCTTAGCAATTTTAAAATATGCAATATAACATTACTAACCATAAGTCATCATTTGTTTCATTAGTGGAATTTTGTACCTTTTGACTTCCTTTACCTATTTGATCCACATCCAACTTCCAGCAACAACCAATATATAAGCTTGTATTTTTTTTTGCTTTCTTTTTTTAAGATTCCACATGTGAGAGCTTATGTGTAAGTCAGAGCTCTCTCTGACTTATTTCACTTAACATAGGGCCTTCAAGGTCCACCCATGTTTTCACAAATGACATGTCATCCTTTTTTATGGCTGAGTAATATTTCATCATGTATATATACATCACAGCTTTAAAAATCCATTTGTCTATAAATGGACACTTAGGTTGTTTCCATATCTTGGCCATAATAAATAATGTTTCAGTGAATATGAGTGTACACATCATTTTGAGTCAGTGTTTTCATTTTCTTTGGATAAATACCCAGAAGCTGAATTGCTGGATCATATGGTTGTTCTCTTTCTAATTTTTTGAGGAACTTCCATACTGTTTTCCGAAGTGGCTGTATCAATTTCCATTGCCACCAACATTGTACAAGGGTCTGTTTCCCCTACATCCTCGCCAACACTTGTTATTTCTTGTCTTTTTAATAGACATTCTAACAGGTATAAGGTGATAGCTCATTGTGGTTTTGCTTTTCATTTCCATCATGATTAGTAGTGTGGAGCACTTTTTCATGTACCTGTTGTCCATCTGTATGTCGTTTTGAAAAAAAAAAAGTCTATTCAGAGCCTTTGTCCATTTGTCATTTGGATTGTTTGCTTTTTCCTATTGAGCCATCTTGAGTTCTTTGTGTAGTTTGGATATAAACCCCTTATCAGATACATGATTTGCTATTATTTTCTCCCATTCAGTAGGTTGCCTTTTCATTTGTTGATAGTTTCCTTAGAAGACGTTGCCATACTTCTAAGAAGTTTCTTTTTGGTTTGACATAGTCCTGCTTGTTTATTTTTGGTTTTGTTGCCTTTGCTTTTGGTGTCAATTACATAAAATCATCACCAAGACCATTGTGAAGGACCTTACTGCCTATGTTTTCTTCTAGGAGTTTTATGGTTCAGGTCTTAAGTTCAAGTATTTAATCCATTTTAAGTTAGTTTTTGTTCATGGTATAAGATAGTGGTCCAGTTTCATTTTGCACGTGGCTGTCCAGTTTTCCAAGCAGTATTTAGTGAAGAGACTGTCCTTTTTCCATTGTATATTCTTGTCTCCTTTATCATAAACTAATTGACCATATATTTGTGGGTTTATTTCTTGGCTCTCTATTCTTTCACATTGATCTATGTGTCTGTTTATGCCAATAGCATACTGGCTTTTTAAAATTATTTTTAATTAAATTTTGGGGGTAACATTGGTTAATAACATTGTCTAAGTTTCAGGTGTTCAACTTTATAATATATCATCTGTATATGTCATTGTGTGCTCACCACCCAAGTCTGGTTCCCTTTAGTCACTATATATTTCAGCCCCTTTAACCTCTTCATCCTTTTCCCTCCATCTTCCTTCCCCTCTAGTAACTACCATACTGTTGGCTGTGCTTATGAGTTTGTTTTACATTCGACATATGAATGAAATCATATGGTTCTTGTCTGACTTATTTCACTTAGCATGATACTTAAGATCCATTGATGTGGTTGCGAATGGCAATATTTCATCTTTTTATAGCTGAGTAGTATTCTCTTGTGCATTTGTACCACATCTTCTTTATCCAACCATCAGTCAAAGGACACTTAAGTTGTTTCTATGTCTTGGCTATTGTGAATAATGAATATAGAATACATATATCTTTACAAATAAGTGTTTTCAAGTAGATACTAAAGGGATTTTTGCATCGCATGGTAGCTTTATGCTTAATTTTTTTAAGTATGTGCCTCCATACTGTTTTCCACTGAGGCGGCACCAATGTACATTCCCACCAGCAGTGTATGAGGGGTCCCTTTTTCTTCATATCCTCCCAACACTTGTTATTTCTTGTTTTATTGAAAATAGCCATTCTAATAGGTATGAGGTGTTATCTCATGTGGTTTTGATTTTCACTTCACTTGTAGCTGGTGAAGTTGGACATCTTTTCATACCTCTGTTGGCCATCTATATGTCTTTTTGGGAAATTGTTCAGATCCTCTCCTCATTTTTTAAGTTGAATTGTTTGGTTTTGTTGAGTTGCGTGAGTTCTTCAGATTTTGGATACTAGCTCCTTATCAGAAGTATAGTTTGCAAATATCTTCTCCTACTTGATTGGTTGCCATTTTGTTTTGTTGATTTTTTGTTGTTGTTGTTTTTTGGGGTTTTTTGCTATACAGAAGCTTTTTTAGTTTGCTGTACTCCCATTTATTTAACTTCCCTTGCCTTTGGGATCAATTTCATAAAACACCCTGAGACCAAGGCCTGTAAATTTATTACCCATGTTTTCTTCTATGTATTTTATTGTTTCAGATATTATATTCAAGTTTTTAATCCATTTTGAGTTAATTTTCGTGTAACTTTTAATTATAATGCCTTGATACCATAATTTGAAACCAGGGAATGTGATGCCTCCAACCTTGTTTTTCTTTTTCAAGATGGCTTTTGCTATTTGGGGTCCTTTGTGGTTCCACACAAATTTTAGGATTGTTCTATTTCTGTGAAAAATTACAATTTTGATAAAGATTACATCTAACCTGTAGATTGCTTTGGGTACTATGGACATTTTAATGTATTTCTTCCATTCCATAAGCATGAAATCTCTTTTCTTTTACTTGTATTTTCTTCTATTTCTTTCATTAATGTCTTATACTGTTCACATTTTTCACCTCCTTAGTTAAATTTATTTCTAGGTATTTTATGCTTTTCGATGCAATTGTAAATATGATTATTTCTTAATTTCTCTTTCTAATAGTTTTAGTTTGTAGAAATGCAACAGATTTTTGCATTTCTATTGATTTTGTATGCTGCAAATTTACTGAATTCATTTATTCTACTTGGTAGAGTATTCAGGATTTCCTATAAATAATATGTCATCTGCAAATAATGACAGTTTTACTTCTTCCTTTCCAATTTGGATACTTTTTATTTCTTTTTCTTGTCTAATTGCCCTGGCTAGAACTTCCAGTACTATGTGGGATTAAAATGGTGGGAGTAGGCATCCTTGTCTTGTCCTAAACCTTGGAAGAAAAGCTTTCAGTTATTCACCACTAAGTATATGTTAGTTGTGGCCTTGTCATATATGACCATAATGTTGAGGTACATTCCATCCATACCCCTCTCTTTGTTGAGATTATTTTTATCATAAATGGATGTTGAATTGTCAAATGCTTTTCCTCTATCTACTGAAATGACCATGCGGTTTTAATCCTTCATTTTATTAATGTGGTGTATCACAATGACTGATATGCAGATGTTGAACCAAACTTCCATCCCTGGAATGAATTCCACTTTATCATGGTGTATTATTCTTTTACTATATTGTTGACTTCAGCTTGCTCATATTTTGTTGAGGATTTTTACATCTGTCTTCATCTGGGACATTGGCCTATAATTTTATTTTCTTTTAGCATCCCTGTCTGGCTTTGGTATAAGGGTAATGCAGATCTCATAAAATGTGATTGGAAGTATTCTCTCCTCTTCTATTTTTTTGGAAGAGTTTGAGAAGGATTTGTATTAATTCTTCCTTAAATGGTAGGTAGAATTCACTAGTGAAGCTGTCTGGTCCTGGACTTTTGTTTGTTGGGAGGGTTTTTTTGGTAAGATTTTATTTGTTTTTTAGGGAGAAGGGAATGGAGGAAGAAAGAGAGGGGGGAAAAACATTGATGTGAGACAGAAACATTGATGGGTTGCCTCTTGTAAGTGCCCTGACCGGAGCCTGACCCCACAATCCAAGTATGTGCCCTGACCAGAAATCGAACCAGTGACCTTTCGCTTTGCTGGATGACACTCAACCAACTGAGCCACACCAGTAAGGCTGTTGGGAGGTTTTTGATTAGTGATCTTCCTTACTAGTAAGCTATTCAGATCTTCTATTTCTTCATGATTCAGCCTTGGAAGACTGTATGTTTCTAGGAATTTATCCTTTTATTCTTAATTGTCCAATTTCTTGGTATAAAACTGTTGATAATAGTCTCTTATGAACCAATTTCTGTGGTATCAGTTGTAACAGCTTTTCTTTCATTTCTGATTGAGTCCTTTTTTCTTTTTTCTGAATCTAGCTTAAGGTTTCTCAATTTTATCTTTTCAAACCTCCAGCTCTTAGTACCATTGACCTTTTCTATTGTATTTCTAATTTCTATTGCATTTAGA